ACAGGGCTAACATCTCCTGGGGCAAATGGCTATATACATATACGTCTTCAGAGACCATTTCAAACACACTGGAACTAGCCGCTAATCGAGGCTTATGCAAATTGTCAGTTTGTGGTGAAGAGAAATGATACAACTGGTGAAACAGATACCTTGATTCTAACCTAGTTCCATTTCATTAGTTGGATTATGATATTTTAAGGAACATCATCATTGAACAGATAATTCATTACGAAGTTTGTATATCTCTGTTAAAAAACTTATACACAAGCAGCGTAAAAGCTTTGAAGTTTACTACCCCACGCTCTTAAAATAACAGTCACTCGCCATGATACATATAATTGTTTTGGCGACAAATTTATAAACAAACATGAAATGTCAAAGAAAGGAAACACTACAAATAGATAACAAAACAAAAGACAACAATATAGAGTAAATAATGAACTGAGATAGATACAACAAGAAAACATGATTGTAGTGCCAACAGAGTTCCACTGACCTGAAATTGAATCCTCTTCAATAAGCATTGAAGAAATCGACTGATGATCCAAACAGCTATGGGTAGAAGCTTCTGGAAGTAAAAAGACCTACGCTTGAATTCGACTGAACCTTAGTTACCATGACGCACGCGGAAAAATTATTCGACCAACGATAATGAATAATGAGCTGTTGTATTGGAATTTATCAAAAATCAATTCATTCTTCAGTGGTGAATGCGGACTATGCTGAAATTGGTGAAAGGATTATCCAGTTCTTACAAGAAATCACAGGAGCCATTCACCTAATGGTACGCTCTTTTTCCTTTCCTTTCAGTTTCGGGTCTCTTAACAGACTTAGCATACATATTAGAGTACCAAAAAATAAGATATATTAATTTCAAACATACCTTAATGCAATGAGCTTTGAAGCGAGAAGACTTTTTCTCTATTTATTCACTGCTTGTAAATTTCTCATATTTAAGAATTGTTTTCCGTTATATCGCTTCGACAGATATCAAGGTGCCTCCACATACACTTAAGTGAGAACTAGCTTTTAAAAGTGGTTATTGACTAAGCGGTTATACATTAAGTATACAGTGACTCAGAGAAAAAATAACATACTGATCTGGGTAAGCCAATATTTCGTATAAGACTTTTTACACTGTTAATGCAGCCGTTTTAACTGTGATATTCTGCATTATCTTTATTTGACTGCCGATGTCTACCGCGGGTGTCCTAAGGTGGATTCCATAAAATTTGCAAAGTGTTTACGAAAGAATTACGTTGCAATTCAAATTCGCATAGTTTTACTTTAATTTTATCTTTCATATCAACGAAAAGGAATATATTTACATTTAAAACGACAGTATTAGAGTGAAAAGTGGTGAAAAGCTTTGTCCAAGTATTGAGAAATTCGTCAATTGCGGTCGTGACATTGACCAAGAGGCTGGTTCAAGTAACCATATCGACCCTCATTTCCATATACTCTGATTTAATTAAAAAAAACCTAATATCACACCAGAAAAAGTTATCTTCAACGCTCTCTTTCAACAATCCGAGCAGATTAAACTAGCTAATCAACTCAGAGCATTGATTTTATGTACATTTGGAACAAATTTTTTAATCCTTTCCTAGAGCGAATTATTGCTTTAAGTTTTGCATTTTAAGTTGGTTAAGAAAGTCTGTGACTGAAAATTAAGAAAACTTCGGAAGTCATTTCACATGCTACATTTGTTCTTAATGTATTTTTTGATGTGAAAAATTTGTGATAACCAAGAAAGGTTAAATTTTTGCAATAGTAGATGGAATGTAAGTGTTTAATATAACTTCACGTGGGATGTGAGTGCGCTATTTATGTGATGTTATGCTCTTGAGTTATCCAACGACAGATCTGGACAGGATCTGGACCGTGCTTATGATAATGATACCATAGAATAGAGTTACGATAAAAAGCAAAATACTAGAATATTCTTGGAGTCTTCAATTTTTGATTTATGGCATTTATTACACAATACAACCACAATCATAGTCTAGTGGTTAAGTCATCATCGCACAATTTGCATAGTGTTATCCGGTTGGCTAGCCTATGTGTGATAAATAGCAAAGAATGATCATAACAGTCAAAATTAACAACACGATGGCAAAATGGTTAAACAGTTATTTTAAGGTAAACTGCTCTCCTGTGCTTTGCTCATTAAACTCTTTCGTGATTAAAATTCAGTTTGCCGGTTCCGAAACCGCAACCTTATAACCTGTTCTTTCTATTAATTGCCATTACGATCAAATGTATTTAGTGAAGAGGAACAAATAACATTGATCAACTCTTTTTTGGCGCTATTTTCTCTATTCAAAATAATTAAGTGAAGAAAGGAACTATCTTGCAGTAGGCGGTTCTAAGGAAAACACTTCACCAAAAACAAAACTAGTACATGTACGTCAAATATGTGGGTAAATACGTCATACCATACATGAATAAAATAATAAACATACTGGTATCATAACTCATTGTATATAATATAGTAGGAGGATGAAACATCAAATGATATTATTTTTTTGTTATTCAAAACATAATAATGATAACTATAAAATGAATAATTCTACGTTGCTAGGTCTGTAGAAACCGACCACAGTTGTTGACTAGCCTGGAGTTTCCGCATTTAATGTTCCCTTAATTTGTAAACGAATGATCCACTTACAATGTACAAAAACGGAAACCCAAAGCACAAACCCGGTCATAGCAGGTGTCTTATGTTACAGCGGAAAACTTAAGCAGACACATTGTACCTGTTTTTGATTGCTAGGTTGTAAAAGCACACCCAGAGGTTACACTGACCAACTTACAAAGTTCTATTTAACATTTTGTTTTGTGGAACATAAGGAACATTTTTTTATATTGGCGCTAAAGGCACGCCTACCATACTGTAGTTCCGTTGCGATTAAATAGGCTAAAATTGAAATTGTCGATGCGAGAAGACTTTTAGTCTAAAATTTTTGGAAAACACGTAACCAAATTTCTTTAGTTTAGGCGAACTAAAGACTCCACCCGGCTCATTTTTATTGCACGCATGGCGAGCAGAGGCTCGGTACAATGCCCGAGAAGTCAGTGTGTCAACCGCGTACGTTGTTACTTTTATCTTCCGCACTATTTGCTCTGCGTCCATGAAAAAGGAGTCTGTTCGAGGACTTAATCAAGCATAGCCGCACTTTACTGACCCGAAGTCACCAGTGTGACGCATAAAGAGCAGAGCCCATAGTCAACATCGATCCAGTTCGGACCATTGTTTACCAGGATGCAGCGTGGCCGTGGTTAGATTGCTGGACTTGCCATTTGGAGGCCCCAAGTTCAACTCCTGCCCTGACCACTAGCTGGATTTGTTCACGGTAGTCCCGAGTTCAAATCCTCAGCCACCATTGTAAATACCCAGCTGGGTTTCCTCCGGCCAGTTGGAATTCTTAACCATGATAAGTTTGATTTGACTTATTTCTTTCAGGCATTTGCTCGGCCCCACTAGGATTAGTGCTATAAATACTGCCGAGGGTAAATAACGGAATTATTATTATCACTATTATTATTATTATTATTATTATTATTATTATTATTAATAATAATAATAAAAGTGACGTTGATTTAATACACAAGTTACATTGCAGTGGCTGCCACACGAAAAAGAAGCCTTTGCTATAGAGAAATAAGTCTCAGGCTAATTTACAATGCATTTTAGGGATTGTTTGTTTGCAAATTTTCATGCAGATTATTTTTTCTGAGCGATTTAAGTGTCGCGGAGACGTTTTTTGTTTAACTAGTTCATTTATTTCTTGTATCCTACCTACTGTAATTATTCATTTATTGTTAACAACCCTTTGTTCTTTTATTTTATACCTGCAGATATCATTAACCCAAAGAGATAAACGCTCAAAAACAAGAAAAAAACGTTCTCAAACAAGATTACTATAGAATTTCTTAAAACATGGCTAGCAAGATGTATCTTTATGGTTTTTTAACCGCTGCAAGTATCCTTCTTTCTTTAACAAGTAAGTAAATGTAGTTTTCTTGTCGACTATAGGTCTATTACTTCTTAGAAGATATACCCCAAAACAAGCACATACTTTCTGAAGGCCTGATGGATAAAAAAGTAGTCGATAATTGATTCTGGATTTTGAGACGCTTAAAGTAATCAGAACAGCTTATCGAGCAAAGCTCAAAGGTTGATAGTTTATCCCGTTTTGTCCACAGATAGTCCAGACACGTCTTTAACCCTGGAACATCTGCGGTGCTCACCTCAGGCATCATCCCCATGAAAAAAATTAAACGTGTCCAAAAAAAAGAAGGCAACCAAACGATGAGTCCGATGTCCTGGTGGCACCAATTTTTATAAACCTCTCATTGTTAAGGCATTACAAGACCTGATTTATAGTAATAAAAACATGCCTCTAGTTATAAGCGGGACAACCAGAGCAGTGATTGAGTGACAACAACGCATTCACGTTTATTCCAAAAAGGCGCAGGAAGTCTACTCACGTAGTTTTACGTTAGATATCCCCGTTTCTGGAAGACACTGTCACAGAACTTTCGTCATAAAAACTTTGCTTGAGTACCTACAAAAATAATTTACTGTTAATTCTTAAAAAATAAGACGACAAGAAAGACTAAAATGGCCTTGGCACTTACCTTTTGATCGACAGCGCCCTCAAGACAGTACATTATCCAATTCGCTGCTTCCTAATTTCCTATTTATTAAAAGCTTTACTTGATTTTTATGACTGGGAGGACTACTGTAAGAGGCCACGTCCTGTATTGACGTCCACCAATTTTGCTCTATTGTATTCCAACTTAACAGTATTCAAAACAAGACACACAAAAAACAACAATGCGTTGAACTTGGATATTTGCATGAAATGCACTCTGAATGTTAAAATCAAGGTTAAGAAAAAAGTTTGGCTTGAGAAAAAAAAATGACCATACCACTCATAAAAAAACCTCAAAAAAAAAAAAAAAATAGTTTCAAAATTGACAAACAACGAATCCTAAATAAAAAGATTCTTAGAATTATCGACACTAAAATAACACATTTTATTGACTTTAAAGTTCAATTTCATAAATTCAATTAAAGGTTCCTCAACATCGCAAAGTAGTTCACCCACTGTGTCGCAAAGTGTCTCGGCGTCAACCTCAACTACCGAGTCAGCCAGCGTGTCGACCAGTGCCTCGGCGTCCACATCTCCCAGTGTGTCACCAAGTGTCTCCGCCTCCACCTCAACTAGCGAGTCAGCCAGCGTGTCGACCAGTGCCTCGGCGTCCACATCTCCCAGTGTGTCACCAAGTGTCTCGGCCTCCACCTCAACTAGCGATTCAGCCAGCGTGTCGACCAGTGCCTCGGCATCCACATCACCCAGTGTGTCGCCTAGTGTCTCGGCCTCCTCCTCAACTAGCGAGTCAGCCAGCGTGTCGACCAGTGTCTCGGCCTCCACATCGCCTAGTGTGTCGCCAAGTGTCTCGGCCTCCACCTCAACTAGCGAGTCAGCCAGCGTGTCGACCAGTGCCTCGGCATCCACATCACCCAGTGTGTCGCCTAGTGTCTCGGCCTCCTCCTCAACTAGCGAGTCAGCCAGCGTGTCGACCAGTGTCTCGGCATCCACATCGCCCAGTGTGTCGCCTAGTGTCTCGGCCTCCTCCTCAACTAGCGAGTCAGTCAGCGTGTCGACCAGTGTCTCGGCCTCCACATCGCCTAGTGTGTCGCGAAGTGTCTCGGCTTCAATCTCAACTGGCGAGTCAGTTAGCGTGTCGACCAGTGTCTCGGCCTCCACATCAACTAGCGGGTCAGCCAGCGTGTCGACCAGTGCCTCGGCATCCACATCACCCAGTGTGTCGCCTAGTGTCTCGGCCTCCTCCTTAACTAGCGAGTCAGTCAGGGTGTCGACCAGTGTCTCGGCCTTTACATCGCCTAGTGTGTCGCGAAGTGTCTCGGCCTCAACCTCAACTAGCGAGTCAGCCAGCGTGTCCACCAGTGCCTCGGCGTCCACATCGCCCAGTGTGTCACCAAGTGTCTCGGCCTCGACTTCGCCTAGTGTGTCGCCTAGTGTCTCGGCCTCCACATCAACTAGCGGGTCAGCCAGCGTGTCGACCAGTGCCTCAGCATCCACATCACCCAGTGTGTCGCCTAGTGTCTCGGCCTCCTCCTCAACTAGCGAGTCAGCCAGCGTGTCGACCAGTGTCTCGGCCTCCACATCGCCTAGTGTGTCGCGAAGTGTCTCGGCCTCAACCTCAACTAGCGAGTCAATCAGCGTGTCGACCAGTTTCTCGGCGTCCACTTCGCCTAGTGTGTCACCTAGTGTCTCGGCCTCCACATCAACTAGCGGGTCAGCCAGCGTGTCGACCAGTGCCTCGGCATCCACATCACCCAGTTTGTCGCCTAGTGTCTCGGCCTCCTCCTCAACTAGCGAGTCAGCCAGCGTGTCGACCAGTGTCTCGGCCTCCACATCGCCTAGTGTGTCGCGAAGTGTCTCGGCCTCAACCTCAACTAGCGAGTCAATCAGCGTGTCGACCAGTTTCTCGGCGTCCACTTCGCCCAGTGTGTCACCTAGTGTCTCGGCTTCAATCTCAACTGGCGAGTCAGCCAGCGTGTCGACCAGTGTCTCGGCCTCGACATCGCCTAGTGTCTCGGCCTCCACATCAACTAGCGGGTCAGCCAGCGTGTCGACCAGTGCCTCGGCATCCACATCACCCAGTGTGTCGCCTAGTGTCTCGGCCTCCTCCTCAACTAGCGAGTCAGTCAGCGTGTCGACCAGTGTCTCGGCATCCACATCACCCAGTGTGTCGCCTAGTGTCTCGGCCTCCTCCTCAACTAGCAAGTCAGCCAGCGTGTCCACCAGTGCCTCGGCGTCCACATCGCCCAGTGTGTCACCAAGTGTCTCGGCCTCGACTTCGCCTAGTGTGTCGCCTAGTGTCTCGGCCTCCACATCAACTAGCGGGTCAGCCAGCGTGTCGACCAGTGCCTCGGCATCCACATCACCCAGTGTGTCGCCTAGTGTCTCGGTCTCCTCCTCAACTAGCGAGTCAGCCAGCGTGTCGACCAGTGTCTCGGCCTCCACATCGCCTAGTGTGTCGCGAAGTGTTTCGGCCTCAACCTCAACTAGCGAGTCAATCAGCGTGTCGACCAGTTTCTCGGCGTCCACTTCGCCCAGTGTGTCACCTAGTGTCTCGTCCTCCACCTCAACTAGCGAGTCAGCAAGCGTGTCGACCAGTGCCTCAGCGTCCACATCGTTCAGTGTGTCACCTAGGGTCTCGGCCTCCACCTTAACTAGCGAGTCAGCCAGCGTGTCGACCAGTGCTTTGGCCTTCACATCGCCTAGTGTGTCGCAAAGTGTCTCGGCCTCCACCTCAACTAGCGAGTCAGCCAGTGTGTCGACCAGTGCTTCGGCCTCCACATCGCCTAGTATGTCGACTAGTGTCTCGGCCTCCACCTCAACTAGCGAGTCAGCCAGCGTGTCGACCAGTGCCTCGGCCTCCACATCGCCTAGTGTGTCACCAAGTTTCTCGGCCTCCAGCTCAACTAGCGAGTCAATCAGCGTGTCGACCAGTTTCTCGGCGTCCACTTCGCCTAGTGTGTCGCGAAGTGTCTCAGCCTCAACCTCAACTAGCGAGTCAGCCAGCGTGTCGACCAGTGCCTCGGCGTCCACATCGCCTAGTGTGTCGCGAAGTGTCTCGGCCTCCACCTCAACTAGCGAGTCAGCCAGTGTGTCTACCAGTGCCTCAGCGTCCACATCGCCTAGTGTGTCACGAAGTGTCTCAGCCTCAACCTCAACTAGCGAGTCAGCCAGCGTATCGAACAGTGCCTCGGCGTCCACATCGCCTAGTGTGTCGCCAAGTGTCTCGGCCACCACCTCAACTAGTGAGTCAGTCAGCGTGTCGACCAGTGTCTCGGCGTCCACTTCGCCTAGTGTGTCACGAAGTGTCTTGTCCACCACCTCAACTAGCGAGTCAGCCAGCGTGTCGACCAGTGCCTCGGCGTCCACTTCGCCCAGTGTGTCACCTAGTGTCTCGGCCTCCACCTCAACTAGTGAGTCAGCCAGCGTGTCAAACAGTGCCTTGGCCTCCACATCCCCCAGTGTGTCGCAAAGTGTCTCGGTCTCCTCCTCAACTAGCGATTCAGCCAGCGTGTCGACCAGTGTCTCGGCATCCACATCGCCTAGTGTGTCGCAAAGTGTCCCGGCCTCCACCTCAACTAGCGAGTCAGTCAGCGTCTCGATCAGTGCCTCGGTCTCCACATCGCCCAGTGTGTCGCCGAGTAGCTCGGCCTCTATCTCTGATACTGTCTCAGCCAGCGTGTCGACCAGTGTCTCAGCGTCCGCATCGCCTAGTGTGTCGCCAGGGTTCTCGGCCTCCACGTCAACTAGCGAGTCTGCCAGCGTGTCGACCAGTGCCTCGGCCTCCACATCGCCCAGTGTGTCACCAAGTGTCTCAGCCTCCGCCTCTTCTAGCCTGTCTGGCAGCGTGTCTGCCAGTGTGTCGACTAGTGTCTTGGTCTCCTTATCATCCACTTTATCGACCAGTGCCTTGGCGTCCATATCACACAGTACTCTGCCAAGTGTCTCGGCGAGTGTATCGACCAGTGTTTTCGCCTCTGTTTCGATCAGTGAGTTTTGTTATTTTTTGAAAAAAATGTTTTTTTGTTTTTGCCTGTTTTGACGTATTTTTTTGTTCATTTCAGATATTAATGACTGTGCAAATGTCAGCTGTTCTAGCCAAGGAACATGTAGAGATTTACAAGGCGGTTTTCGGTGTGAATGTTTTCCCGATTACTATGGGGAACTGTGTGAGAACGGTGAGGGTGTTTTTATTTGATATATTGGAATCCGTATTTTTGAGCCATTACGAGAAAAGCTAATTGGCTCGAATTATTGGAATATGGAACATACCTATTCGAGAAAGCAATATTCATTTTTAGTCTAAAATTTGTTTTTGTCGCTGTAATTTTGTTTTGAATAGGATATGGTATCATTTAACTGTGCCAAAAGGTGTCCAGTGAGAGTGAGACAATCAACTTGACCATCTAAACATTTCATTTTCGGTATTCGTATCGTTCATTTAATGGAGTATGACACATTGTATTTCAGCGGAGTTTTCGGAAAGGAAGATATATCTTGGGCGGGCTGTTCAAAGAGGAGTTAAGATAACTTGGGGTTTGTGCGAAATTTGATTTCAGTTTTGAAAGTTTAACCATCAGTTAATTCTCTTTGTCTTCAATTTGATGATGCATGCTCTAAAAAGAATGAGCAAATTATCCGTGGAATTGCTTTTGAATAGCAGAAGAATAAACCCAGATTAAAATTTAATCCTTGGTTAGTGTGAATATCAGCCTTTGAACAAATGGGCCCAGGTGGGTCGGGGAAGTAGAAGGGTCTCTGAACGGGTTTGCTAATACACATATACACATACAGCTATTTCGAGAAAGGTTGTTAGAAAAAGTGCACGCGATAATCCCGAAAGGTGTTGTGGGTGGTTTTGAGTTCTTTGTTCTTCAAAGAAATTTGAAAGAATAGCATGAGAGGCCATGGACGCATGGACGCATGAAAGCTAAAGGAAAGCAACAATAGAAGATTCGACAGCTACAGTGTCAGGAACAGCGTATTGATCATATCCCATATTACCTTTCGGGATTGTCGCGTGCACATTTTTTCCAACAACCTTTCTCGAAATAGCTACACACATGGCTCATACACACATACACATATCTGTGCGGGCCTATTTGCCGAAGTTTGTATTATAGGAGGAATATCAGTTCTATTTGTGTAAAAAATCCTCAAGCACCTGTCATTCTGTGATATTTTGATTATTAGTATTGAAGAATGAGACATGGTCTGTTGGTGGCTTCTCCTTAGAACACACAATGAAATTTAGCACTAAGCAGGCCTTAACCAATCTGTCATCCAACAAGAGTGAAAGGAATTACTTTTTCATTAAATTCGTAACGTTTACTGGCGACCAATTAAATTTTATAGAATTTCCTCAGTAATTTTTCAGGATTCAAGCTGTTGACTATTCTGAGTTCGCCACTCTCGAAGGCATTTTTCATATTATTATTATGGTCAAAATAAATGTAGCCATATTGGCTATTAACAGCGATCCGCGAAACCAATGTTTAAAGCTTTAAATATAATCTGAATTTGAATAATTAGCATGTGTAATCAAATGGTGACGAGTGAAATTGGCAAATAATTTCACGCGCGTTTTGTCCAAATCCTAATAATTTCCCTCACCTTGAAATTATTAGGATTTGGACAAAACGCAAGTGAAATTATTCCCTAATTTCACGAGTATACCATTTGATTACCTGTTTTAAAAATATCATGGGTGACGAATTACGTTAGCAATCTTGGATTTTTGACATGTTTATCCTGGATCGTATCGATAGAGAACTCCTCTCTCTCAAATGTTTAGACCTTAAATTTGGCTTATAAAGTTCAGAATTTTTCAGACGTTTTCGGAAAAATACCTTTTAGAATCCTTCTTGATCTTCTCTTGTGTGTTCAGGTTTTCTAAAGCGTCTTTTTGTGCCCTGACATCTTCATTCACGGCATTTTAAAACTTCGTCGCCGTCTTGACACTGAGACGTACGGAAGGGTTGCCATGGCAATTTTGTAATTTCACTTGTGAAATGAACGCTGAAATTTAGCGCCAAAATGAAGGAGTAATTCGTCACCTATCATATTATTATATAAACACCAATGAAATACCCGGTGAGCTTTCGCGCGAAAACATGATATCTTCACATGTTAACATGCCATCTTCACAAGTGAATATCACCGTTGCTATGGCTACATAATTAATCGCGACTTTCACAGCAAAAAAACTATTAAAGTGAGATGGTTTGGTAGTTCATTAGTGTTTATATAATAAATAGAACATTACATGGCCGCTTGGAAGAGAAATTTCTTATCCCCGCGCGACCATGTAATATTTTCTATTTATAAGTTTTAGTTCTCTCAATTTATAAGAAAAATGATAAGAGTTGTTATCTTATTGTATTTCTTATTTCAGTAATTACTCCATGTCTTCCCTTAAATCCATGTGAGAACAATGGAACCTGTAGCCTTGTAACCAGTAACTCCTTCTCATGCAACTGCTCACAAGACTATGAAGGAATCACCTGCCAAAGAAGTAAATATTTTAATATCTTATCTTTCACTTTCAGAATCTTACTTGAAGTACTTATATTAAAAATTTCGATTAAAGATAGTAAGCTGAGGGGCGTAACTAGAAATTTTCCACAGTTTTCAAAATCAACCATAACCCGTGTCTAAAGTCCATTTCACGAGAGAGACTTGTTTACATTTCTCCTCTTATCAGGCAGCATTAACGGCTTCCGCGAGCGTAAAAATAGAGAAACACCGCATTTTGTGTGAAAGACTCATATGAAAGAGGACAAAGGGGAGTTATAATTGAGCCTTTTTCCAGCTATCCCTCATTTAACTTCTTTTCTATTTTCTTTATGTAAGCACGTGCTTACTGGGCGTCCAGGTAGCTACGTCCCTGTAGTAGCGAACTTTTTTTGAAAAAAAAAAAGGCAAAGCCTTTGAGGTTTAAGAAGGGGCATTTATATTTGCTGTTATACGTACGGGCGCTGTACGTTAAACAAGGGAAATATAAAATGAAAAACTCGAGTGCAACAATTAAACTGGAGTAACTGTTCAACTCTCGTAAATGATAGCCTTAGAAGAGCAAGGTCGAAAACCCAATTTTGCCAGATCTATGTAACACAAAAAACCGGTTGGTGTAAATATAAGCATAAATTTACGTGTTACGTGAGAAATGAGCAATATACCAATAATCAGACACCGCAATGGAAGTCAGGTTATTTAAAGAAAAAAGCAGGGAAAGTGAAAACGATCCTGCTTTGGCTGTTTGATCTGATCCATTACTATCAGTGCAGCAGAACTAAAAACAAGCGCGGATTCTGGTGATTAATTTTGCACATTGATCCCGACACTCCATTATTGTAACACTTTTATCTTGTAACTGATTTTAATTCAAATCTTTGTCTAAGTTTCATGTAAAATTTGTTTGACCAGTGCAGAAGCAATCGGAATTGTTAGATTTGTCTTTGCATGGAGGGTACACTGATTTTTCATAGATAAAAGGAAAATACCGATAGTAATGGTTGTACCTTTTTTATAAGCCATTCTTTTTATCTGTTAAAGGCGGGGCGATTACAAAATGGACATTGACATATCAAAACATCTGATTATCGCATACAATAATAAGTAATCCCGTTTTGTTTTTCATTTTCTTTTAGAGAAACCTTCGAGGATCATTGTTGTGATAATAACTGTCCGAAACAGGGAATTTATCGACGATTACATGGACCTACAGGCACCAAAAACAAGAGTTCTGATTGTAGAGTTAACTGCGGAATTAGTTCGTTTCTTCAAAGGAATATTTGGCGACTCTTTTGAGGGAATAATAATCATTAGTCTTTTCGAAGGAAGTGTTGGGGTTAACTTTGAATTATCACTTAAGCCATCGTCGAACGTGACCAACACCACTGTTGTAGAAGAACTCCAAAATGCCAATGGAACTCAAGCCTTGGGTTTTCTAGAGTTGGGCGAAATATCCGCAGTAGAACAAATCCAGCCGACTACACAAGGGACGGTAATGATATCACCCACTCCATCAGGTGTGTGTTTAGTAACAGGTCGTAACAGGTTTTTTTTTAATTTTACGTCATTATTTTCAAATAGGCATCAATTGACTAACAAACCTGACGCCTACGGTGCTCTCACAGGATCATTTTCAGCAGCTGGGCACAGACCCCTGTATAAAAACAGTAACAGAATATAATATACAG